ATCTGTCCAATGGCAGAAAGGAGCATCTTCCTGCATCCAGGATGCTCAAAAAAAAAAAAATGATTCTGTTAGGAAAATGATGCTGTGAGCACATCTCCGGGGTGTCACAAAAAAAAAAAAACTGAGTTTTCAGCAGTAACTGGATACGTGGATGGAAGTGGGAGGTGAAAAAAAAAAAAAAATCCCCAAATCTCTTTTTAAAAATTAGCTCAAATAACAGCCATTTGTGTAAAAAAAAAAAAAAGCCACCACCTGCTAATTGGAAATCAGCTGTGTGCTTGATTTCCCATGAGAGCCTCAGAGCAAAAACACAGCCTGGACAAGGCACACAGAAGGACAGACACTTCAGCCACTCACCCCAATATGTGGCAAATTAAACGAGGAGAAATGGAAGCTGTAAAAGCATGCTAAAAATTGCTGCACAATCTTTTTGCTGGCATGAAAGAGAAAGTGTCCGTACAAGATTTTGAGTTTGAGAATGAAAAATATTCCAGAAAAATTTTAAATAAAATTTGCATAAATCAATAATCAAAAAAAAAAAAAAAAAAGTTTTTTAAAATTTTTCTTCTCTTGACTGGGTATGGTGGCTCATGCCTGTAATCCCAGCACTGGAGGCCAGGAGTTTGAGACCAGCCTGGCCAACATAGCAAAACCCTGAAAAAAAAAAAAATACAAAAAAAAAAAAAAATTAGCCAGGCATGGTGGTACACACCTGTAAAAAAAAAAAAAAAAGAGGCTGAGGTGAGATAATCCCTTGAACCCAGGAGGTGGAGGCTGCAGTGAGCCAAGATCGTGTCAGGGCAATGGAGCCAAATTCTGTCTAAAAAAAAAAGAAGAAAAAAAAAAAAAAAAACCTCAAAAGGACACCAAATAGATTTGCACACAAGTTTTCCTAAGATTTAAAAAAAAAAAAATATTACATCAACTGTTCCAGAAAAAGAAAGAAAAAGCTGCCCAGTTCAAAAAAAAAAAAAAGAAGAATCTTAAAGTTGGGCAAAGAGAGTATAGGAAAAGAAAATTTAAAAAAAAAAAAAAATATGACTGTGTGTGCAAAAAGTGTACATAAAACCTTAGTAAATCACAGAAAAAAAAAAAAAGTCTACAGACTTGGGATCACTGGTGGGGGCAAAAGCCCCCAGAGGTCAGCATGATGCCAACCTCCCAGGTGAGTCACTGGGCACAGCCAACAGGCCCTTGGGGATTTCTCAGCAAGGACCTGGCCCCAAAGTCGCCCAGGCACAGTCAAAAGTCCTCGGTGGCCTGGAAGACACCATGTCCCTCTCTCTGCACCTCGGCCTGCAGAGCCTTCTAGAACCTCAGTGCAATCCGGAGAGGAGCAGAATCTGCCGAGGCCCCAAAGTCAATATTCACTGCAGCCTTGGGAGCTGGAAAAAAAAAAAAAAATTGAATTGAGTCATCGAAAATACTCATATTTCTTGTACTCTTGAGTAAAAAAAAAAAAACACACGAGGCTCATACATTACCAGGCATATGAAATCATGTGACTGAAATGGATGCGTCTGTGCTTGGACTCACAAAATGTGCAAGGTATATGTGACCGCTGCTTCTGCCCTGGGGAACCAGACAGCACAGGCTTCGGGAGCCAAAGGGGGTCTGACTGCCCACTCTGGCCCACTGAAAAATGTCACACAAACATTGAGGGGTGCACAAAACTGTCCTGTGCCTGTCTCTGAAAAAAAAAAAAAACACCCTTCCTGCACACACATGTGTTTTCTGATTCAAAGTTCAAATCCAAAAAAAAAAAAAAAATACACAGAAAAATAAAAAGAAAATATCCCATCAGTTTCTTACAGCTCACCACTCAGGGACAACTCCGTGTATTTCTTTCCAGAGTTTTCTCTGCTTCCATTTTTTTTAAAAAAAAAAAAATATTTTGTTATCCCCTAAATCCTTCATCATAATCACTTCCCCGTGGCATTAAAAAATCTTCTACAACAATAGTTGACATGACCAAACAATATCCTGTTACATGGATGTCAAAAAAAAAAAAATCATTTTCTCGGCATTTTAAACTGGTGGCTTAACATTTTCCTCCTCTCAAAAAAAAAAAAACCGAATAGATTCACACACAAGTTTTCCTAATACTTCAAGGAGCAGATAAAAAAAAAAAAAAGTTCCAGAAAAAGAAAGAAAAAGCTGCCTAGCTCATTTTAGAAGAGTTAAAAAAAAAAAAAATTTCAGATTAGGATGTTGAGGATGTTTCTGGATTTCCACCCGTATAAACAACGGGGTGCCATGAAGCCCCATCCTCCTTCCCACAGGGCTCACACAGGGTCGGGGACGGACCAGGAGCAGGAAGAGTCTCCTCTCTTCCCCAGTATTCTCCCATCCCATTCTGACCCACAGCTGGCTGCACACAGGCACAGGCACAGCTGGAGGCCCATGCGGCCTGAGTCAACGGGCGGAAAAAAAAAAAAATGTAGGTGGTGGGGGCAGTGCCCTGCAGTGGGCAATGGAACGGCCCCCAGCGATGGCTGCGTCCTGATCCCTGGCACCTGTGACTATGCTGTGCTACACGGCAAAGTCAAAAAAAAAAAAAAGATGAAATCAAGGCTACAACTCAGCCGTCCTTGAGACGGGGAAGTCATAAAAAAAAAAAAAAGTGGGGGCAGGGAGGGCAAGGTGATCACAGGGGTCTTTATACGTGAAAAAAAAAAAAAAAGGTCAGAGTCATGGGAGAGGCTTGGCTGCTGTGGGCCTGGAGAGTGGGAAAAAAAAAAAAAGTGCCAGGGAACGCAGCGCCTCTAGAAGCACCGCTACAAGAGACAGGGAAAAAAAAAAAAACAAAGAGCCTCCGGAAGGCACCAGCCCACAGCACCTTCATTCCGGCCAAAAAAAAAAAAAAGGGACTGTGGCCTGAGACGATACATATGCCCTGTTTCAAGCCACCAAGTGTGTGGTCCTTTGTTGTGACGCACAGGACACAGCCCCGGGCCCCCTGTACCAGGGGAATCAAAAAAAAAAAAAGGCCTCCCATCCGTCCACGGGCCACTAACTCCACACTTACCTCCAGGCGGCACTGCTGCCTGGACATCTGGCTGCCTACTCCACCCCTTTCCTTGGAGCCCAATACGGGCCTCAGGCTTGTAGGTCTGAAACCTGCCTGCTGGTCCCTGGCACCGCCTGTTGTTTCAGGCCACAGCCCCACCTTCACCCACAGCTCAAACCAAACTGCAGAGTCACGCCCCACAAGGCAAAAAAAAAAAAAAAAGCAACATCCTGAGGGGCAGCCAGGTGAGCCCTGCCCCACCTCCTAACCAAAAAAAAAAAAACTGGGGTCACCATTTCTTTCTGCAGACCCTGCAGGGGACTCCGATGCCAAAAAAAAAAAAAAACCTCTGCAGCGTCTCCTCCTTGTCCTCAAGTCCCCATCTCACGACAAAAAAAAAAAAAACCTTCTCAGCTCACCCAGAACAAAACCCAGTCCCTCCCTTGACCTACAAAAAAAAAAAAAAGTCATGGCCACTGCAGTTCCCTCCTTCTAGAACATTCTTCCCCAGAGAAAAAAAAAAAAAACCCCCTCAGGGTGTCTGTTCCACTGTGATCTCTTCAGGGAGACCCTCCAAAAAAAAAAAAACCCTGTACTTGACTTTGTGGGTGTTGGTGCCATTGCTCGCCACGCCCTAAAAAAAAAAAAATATGTGTTCACTGCCTGTCTCCCCGGCAGATGCCAGCTCCCGAAGGTTAAAAAAAAAAAAACGCCCATGCTGGGAATAGGCGCCTACTGAATGCCTGGATGGCTGAGTGTGACACACGGAGCGTGGACAAACCCAGAGGAGATGAAGGGGTGGATGTGGGGGCCAGAACTTGGCCAAAGAAGGAGGCAGAAGTTGGAGGTTTTGGGGGGCCCTGAGCCTGAGTCCTGGGGCAAAAAAAAAAAAAGTCTCTGACTGCCCAGCAAAACCAGACTCCCCAAGGGAACAGTGTGGCAAAAAAAAAAAAAACCAGCCCCCTGCCACTGGCACCCAGGCTTTAGTCAGGCTCCTCCGGGAAAAAAAAAAAAAAGTTTATTTCCAGACACTGTGGTAGGCGCTGGGGACAGACAGTGAGGGAAAAAAAAAAAAAAAAGTCCCTGCCCTCTGCCTGGGGCACACACCCCTCCTGCCTAGCCCCTTGCTAGCCCTGCAGGGCTGTCTGGGAAGAAGGATGCCATGGCCTGATCCCGCACCATCAAAAAAAAAAAAAAAGGCTGTGGCAGTGTGAGCCCGTGGCCACAACCCAGTGCCAGGCGGCCCAAAAAAAAAAAAACTGAATGTGAGTGACCTTGGGCCAATAACTGGAGCTTCTGTTTCTTCTAAAAAAAAAAAAATCCTGGGGCTTGTATGAAGATTCGATGAGCTCACAGGTGAAGCCCTCGAAAAAAAAAAAAATCAGAGTGAGTGTTCGGTGTGAGCTGTTATGCTGGGGGTTGCTGTGTCACAAAATGTCCCCTGGAACTCGTTCAGCCCCAGACCTCCACGGATACCCCTGTGGGATCCCAAAAAAAAAAAAAGTGGTGGGCTCTAGGATGAGGGCATGTGTTACAGACCCTGCTTCAAAAAAAAAAAAAAAAAGGGCAGCCCACAGCAAGTTCGTCGGGTGCGGCTAGTTCCGGAAGAAAGAAAAAAAAAAAAAGCTGCAGGGCCACAGAGCAGGATCCTGATCTAAAGTAGGGGTCTGGGAAAAAAAAAAAAAAGAGGCGATATTTAAGTTTGGTGCCTCCTTACCTTCTGGATGCCCTGACCCTGGTCCTAGAGCCCTGAACCCTAGAAGCTGGGATGTTCCTGGCTGTGCAGGGACTCTGGAAAAAAAAAAAAAGCAAGATCAGGCTCCCCGACCAATCAGCACTAAAGAAGCAATGGGCTCACCCACCTTGGCCAGTGCAGGACATGCTCTTCCCATACCCACCACCACCCCTGCAGCAGCTAAAAAAAAAAAAAACATCCCCACCCGCCCACCTGCCCGCTGCACAGCACCCTTCCCCAGGCACGGGCACTTACGCTTGGAATGCTTGTCACACAGGGCAGCTGCCCGCATGTCGCAGAGCCGCAGGGAGCCCTTGCTGCTGCTGTAGACGAAGAGGTTGCAGTGGTGCGGGTGGAACTCAGATAAAAAAAAAAAAACCGTGAGGTCCTCCATGTTGGCTGGCTTGATGTCCACGATGTCTGGGAAAAAAAAAAAAAAGGAAGGGGCAGTGAAGCGCGCCCTCAATGCTCCGCCTTCCTGGAGGTTTCTGACACCTCTCCCAGGCAAAGCCATCCACCCTTGTGTCTGAACTGCCTCTCTGTTCCTGAAAAAAAAAAAAAGCATCCCAGCCAAGGAGCTGCAGACCTGCATGGTGAACCGCCTGCCGGAAAAAAAAAAAAAGTGCCTGTCCACTGTCCCCATGAAGCTGGACCCACCACTTCCCTCCTGACCTGCTCCCCCCCACCTGCACCCCACCCCAGTGAGGGTGCATCAGTTCCAGCCACACATAAAAAAAAAAAAAAGAGCCCCTCTCCTCTGCCCTCCTCCTCCTGTTGGTTGCCAAGCAGAAGAAAAAAAAAAAAAATTGTGTGCCTACTGCACGCTGGGCGGTGGATGCTCTTGGTGAATGATAAAAAAAAAAAAAGGTCCCTCTTCAAATTGTGTCTGGAATTCAGTGTGTGGGCATCTGAATAAAAAAAAAAAAACCAGCACTCACTCCCCTTCTTCTGTCCGCAGTATGGAGATTCTCCTTTAAAAAAAAAAAAATCTGGGTTTCGGGGTCGACCCCAGCTCGGCTCTGATCTGTGCCCTCCAAAAAAAAAAAAAAGGAATACTGAAAAGGTTGGGATGCAGCTTGGTCACCCCTGCTGGGCTGGGTGGTGTAGAAAGAAGGGGCTTCTATCTGCTGCCAGGATGAGGAGAAACCCTGGAGCTTGAAAAAAAAAAAAACAGTGGAAAGAGTGCAGAGAAAGATCTGGTGATGCCATTGGAATCCTGCATCAAGCTGCACCTGAAGCCATTCCCCACAGAATGTTAAAGATGGGAGCCAATAAATGTCAAAAAAAAAAAAAGAGTCACGGACTTGACTGCGTGCAAAGGCAGTATCCCTGACTGTTACAAAAAAAAAAAAAAAAGATGAGCAACGTGTCCGGGGTGGCCCAGGTGTGAGTGGTAAGCCTGAAAAAAAAAAAAAGACCTCCCTGGCCCCAGCACCTGTTCTTTTCCTGGCCCTTCCCTGCTGCCCAGCAGCAGATCAGAATCTCTTGGAGCATGCAAGGACTGGCCCCCACCGAGCCTCTCTCCGGCTTTCCAGCTTCAGATCCCACCTGTCACCCTGACAGAAAGGCCCTCTCCTCTCTCACAGCAATGACCTCGGGCTCCGGTCTCTCCGGCCCTGCATGGGGCTTTGCAGGGTCTGTTCCCTCTGACTTTTCAGGTGAATGTGAGCCCTGGAGTCGGAAGGTCTGGGGTTTGAATCCCAGCTCTGTCACCTCCTGGCTATGTGACCCTGAGCGAGTTCCCAGCTATCCGTGCCTCAGCTTCCTCAAAAAAAAAAAAAGTCAGCAGTATGACTTCATCGCTTTTCTGTGAAGACCATCAGAGGCAAAAAAAAAAAAAAATTGCCTGATGTGTTGCAAAGCTCAATGAATGTCAGTTTCCATTATTATAAAAAAAAAAAAAAATCTGAAATCCATCTGCCCTCCCTCTTCCTCCACCCAAGCTGTTGTCAAAAAAAAAAAAAAAGCAGTATTTGTAATCCCAGCACTTTGGGAGGCCGAGGCGGGTGGATAAAAAAAAAAAAAGATCAAGACCATCCTGGCCAACATGGTAAAATCCCATCTCTACTAAAAAAAAAAAAAAAAATTAGTTGGAGACAAGCCTGACCAACATGGCAAAACCCTATCTCTACTGAAAAAAAAATTAGTGGTGGCATACGCCTGTATCCCAGAGCTGAGGCAGGGAACCACTTGAACCCAGGAGGTGACGGTTGCAGTGAGCCGAGATCGCGCCATTATATTCCAGCCTGGTGACAGGGTAAGACTGTCAGGAAAAAAAAAAAAAAAAAAAGGCAAGCAAGAAAGCAGTATTTCAAGCCCTGTAATCCCAGCACTTGGGAGGCCGAGATGGGCGGATCACGAGGTCAGGAGATCGAGACCATCCTGGCTAACCTGGTGAAACCCGTCTCGTTACTAAAAAATACAAAAAAACTAGCCGGGCGAGGTGGCGGGCGCCTGTAGTCCCAGCTACTCGGGAGGCCGAGAGGAGGAATGGCGTAAACCCGGGAGGCGGGCTTGCAGTGAGCTGAGATCTGGCCACTGCACTCCAGCCTGGGGGACAGATAGCGAGACTCCGTCTCAAAAAAAAAAAAAAAAGAAAAAAAAGAAAGCAGTATTTTCCGACCTCTCTAAACACGAGGGTTTATAAAATGCCAGGAAAAAATAATGGCTGATCTGTGCAGTCAGAAAGCACTTACAAGGGTCTCTGTGCTCGTGCTCAAATCTTGTTTCCCGGAAGCACATCATTAACCAGAAACTGAGAATCACATAAAAATAAAGAGGGAAAAACGAGTTGTCATCACTGCCTGGCTGGTTTCCCAGGAAACTACAGTTTTCCAGTATGAAAAGAAGCAGTGATTAAATAATGAAAAATGATACTGAAGGCCAAGGGAGAAAACAGCCCTCCTCCTGCCACGCTGATTTCACCAGTGCCCGCCCGGCAGCCCCGCCCTCGCGGGCCAAACGCCTCCCATGGCTTTCCAGCACATGCTACCCGCTCAGGGCAGCTCTCAGGTCCTTACTGAACTTCACTTAAATGGGATCCAGAGAAAAAGTGCAGCCACTGAGGAAATGTCACACACATTCACAGCCCATGGAAATGTCACAGCCCATGGATAATGTGCACTAGAGAGGCAGGGCAGACAGGGGCTAAATTCTCTCTGCACACCCTGAGACACACAGAAGCCACGGGAGGCTTGGCAGCAACAGAAGTGCCCGGGAATGCGGGTCCCACATGAGTTCTGCTTGTGTCATCAGGACACGCGCTCTCGCTGTATTTCCTGGGGTTATAACTCATGGGGCACAGTGGGTACGGGAGGACTCGGTGGGATGAAGTCAAATGCTGACACACAGGGCGTTCCTTGAATATTCCAGGTTCTCTCCCAGGGGAGACCTCTCCCTCGGCCTTTCAGGACCCAGAGTGGCCAGCGGCTTGTTGCTTCTGCCAATGAACAGACAAGTGAGGCATGTTACTTCCAGGCTGAAGTTTTGAGAGCCAGCGCGTGGTCTGGTGTGACACTGTTCCCTCTGCAGTGAGATCGCACCGAAGCCAGCCTGTGACGGACACATTTGCAGTGTGAGTGGGAGGTTCGAAGTGGGTGTTTGAAGCCTCAGAGATCTTCAGGTTGCTACCACTGCAAAACCTGTGCCCCCCGACAGGCTCGGTGTCCACCCAAACGCTCCTTCCTTTCCCACCTGGGAATGTTTCAGAACTTTTCAAAGTATGTAGGAGGCCAGGCGCCATGGCTCACACCTGTAATCCCAGCACTTTGGGAGGCCGAGGCGGGCAGGTCACCTGAGCTCAGGAGTTCGAGACCAGCCTAACCAACATGCCAAACCCCATCTCTACTGAAAATACAAACAAAATTAGCCAGGCGTGGTGGTGTGTGCCTGAAATCCCAGCTACTTGGGAGGCTGAGGCAGCAGAATTGCTTGACCTGGGAGGCAGAGGTTACCTACTCCAGACTGGGTAACAGAGCAAGACTCCATCTCAAAAATAAATAAATTAATTAAGTAAGTAATAAAAGTACGCAGGGCTCCACTACATCTGTAGCCCTGTGGCAAACATACCTGAGCCACAGCAACCCAGGGCCGGCTGATGGGCACGGACACTCAGTCGAGCACCCCATGTATAGGCTGGGGACACAGAGTCCCCAAAGGCAAAGGGATCGAGGGCCTGACTTTGGGGAGAGAAAGTCCCCCAAACCTGGGTCCCACCAACAGCCCAGGACCAGGGGGGAGCCATCACAGGGGAATCTCTCCTGCTGTTTCTGTCTTTGGATAGGGTGGGTGATGTGAAACAATCATGTGAGACACAGAGGCCCTGCATCCACATCACCCCGCAGAAGGAGCAAAATCACTGTCATGGCAGGTCCCCCACAACAGGGTCCCCAAGGTAAGAGCTCCCTGGGGAGGCAAGCAGTCCCGAGCCTCTGAATTCCAGGGCCCAGAGCCGTGCCCAGAACCTCTGGGCAGCACAGCACCCTCCAGGGTGTGGGCACTGGGCTGGGTCCATGCTTACCCGGTCCCTGGCCACCTCTCCAAGACCTTGGCTCAGGTGGCCATAGGACCTACCCAGGCCTGCAGCCCAGCCCTTTGCAAAAGGAATTAATTACCGAGTGGGGCGGTCCCTGTTGGCGCTCCCTCAATCCATCGTAACACAGGGGCCTGAAGATGGACTCCTGACAAGGGAAGTAGCTGTGGGAGAAGCCTCCGGGGCACAAGAATTACGCCCAAACTCAGCTACCGCGAACACACCTTTTTGCCTCACATCGTGGCCCCCCATGTGTAGACTTTGAAGCATTTGGCCCTGTGACTACACTCGGCAGCTTTAACTTTGGCAGGACCAGCACCAGGTCAGAAGCTGGGGACCCCCAGTTGGGCATCTGGTCTTGGCTCTCACTGAGACATCATTTCCATTCTGCAAGCCTCGGTTTCCCCATCTGCAAAATGAGGGTCTGGGCCCTTTCCTTTCCAGGACTAACTGCAGGTGGCCCCACCCCTGCTTCATGATAGCCGCCTAAATCCTACTTGAAAAACTGCTTCACAAGGTTCATTTCAGGACTGGCCTCCCTTAGGAAAGAGCATAATTAGGCTCATTTAAGAGTCCCCCTTCCCCTGGCAAAGCGGCTTGAATTATTCACCTTCTGTTTTTCCACCTAATTCCACTCCAACTGTCTGGTGGGCTTTTGTTTCACTTCCAATCACACTCTACCAGCTAAGAGTCATTTTCCCTGCAGGAAAAGTTTGTCAGACACAGGTAGGAATTCCAGAGAGCGGAGCAAGTTACGCAGAGAGGATGAGAAGGAGAGAAGGTAAAATCGCTCTTCAATCCCATATGCCTCAACTGAGCACAGACTATCTTTCTCCAGTGCGGCGGGTTGAAGAGTGGCCCCCACAAATACGTCAGCATAGTATATCCC